TTGAGGACTGTTGCAATATACGTTTGAAGACTGTGTCTTGAGGACTGTTGCAATATACGTTTGAAGACTGTGTCTTGAGGACTGTTGCAATATACACTTAAAGACTGTGTTCAGAAGTGTTCCATTTACGTTATTTATTCAAGTAAACAAAGACAAAGAACCTGGCCACCGCAACGTTGGAGGGCGAAGTTTGTGACGGAAAATTCAACTCGGGCAATCAAAAGGGGTCTGCCCTGTGGCCAGTCATTTTATTTCTCCCGCATTTCAAATTTGCAAAAAGAATTTACCCAAAGCAAGCAAGGATTTTCTCAGCATAATTTATGTTATTAATTACCCATTAATTTCATCAGAAAACGAAACAATTCAACGCATCAGGTCACCACCGTCAAATATATTGTGCCCTCATAATATCATAATATTTATTACCAAAATGTTATAATTCAAATAATAATAAGAATTAATAATTATAATACTTGTGCTGTTGTATCGGTCGGGTGTTAAGACGTTGAGTCAAGACTCAGGACCCGAGTTTGTCCCAAGTATTGCCATCATAATAAGTAATGCAGAGACGGGAGGTACAGTGACGGAAAGCAATTTATTATTACTCTTTAAAAAAAATAAAAATCATTACTCATTAAAAAATCATAATTCATAAAAACATTATTACTCAATAATTGAACTTCCGTTTCTAAAGAAGGCATCAAAAAGAAACTTTGTTCATATAGCTTGAGCAGCGGTTTCTTATCACTGAATACTTTCATTTTTTTTATTAAAATCTGATCTACTTTTCATTGCCAGAGAAATTTTCATTGTGTTGTCTTTTTAATAGAACTATGAAAAATTAAGTAAAGAATTTTGTTATGTTGTGTCAAATTCATGTTATTTTAGCGATCCGAAACTCTATATTCCCTATTTAAAATCTTCATTATTGGTAATTTATGTATTTTAAATTCATATTTAGCATATTCACATTCATATTAACATCTTCATTCATATTCATATTTAACATATTCACAGTCAGCGAGGTAAATTGCCATTTTCTACAGGCCTCATTTCACAAGGCACCATTTATCAGTTATTGGGCGCTGACGCTTACAAGCTGAAAAATAAGAGTTCACATATATAAATTACTGGGTCATATTGTCCAAAAGTGACACACTTTCAGCTGGTAGCACTGATACGTCCTTCTGGAAAAATCATATATCACTCATAGATATGAAGAGGTCATATTGTCATAAAAGTGACACACTGTCTGCTGGTAGCACTGATAAGCCCATTTACCGGGAAAACTGAGTCAAGAAGGCCCACACAAGGACAAGAAGTGCATCACTATTTGGACAAAGTCTGTCTATTTCTCTGAGTGTTCCCTATAAGGTCCTCAAGATAACGTCACCTCACAAGTAACATCAGATACTTGCATGTCAGACGCAAGGCAGACATGCAAGGCAGTGAATTCATTCTTAATATAAAAATTGTAAATAAACTTCTTGTTTAAATCCGCAAAATATAAAGGACGGCAAATAAATTTTTTCTTTAAATCTGCAAAAAGGGCACTAATGGCAGGCAATGTAAATTGCTTATGAAGATATTTTCGCATCGTTTATACCCCACACTGTTTTGGAATTAAAAATTTAAACACGAAATTCTCCAGCTAATTTTTCAAGGAAATGCATGGAGAAGAATCAGCGCTCGTAGCGCCAGCGTGAATATGCGACTGCAGTGACTTTCATGACTAAAATATTTATTTCCTGTCTATACGAATACTGGAACTCTGGGGGGAAACCTCTCTTCCTTAACTACAGGGTCATCAATATATAGCGTTACACTTTTTCAAAATCAATTGTTGATAATTGTCCTCGATATTTGTCATTTGTTTACACCTTCTTATTAATCTTTATCATTATTTATCATTTATCATCTTTATGGTGTCAAAAAAACACCAACTGTCTGCTCAAGTTGTTACTAAACGCCTCCAAAGATCCAAGATTCTTCTTTCCTGCATTCGTGATGGCACGCTGCCAAACTCGTTTTCAGTGATGAGAAAATATTCAATGTTGAACACCACTTCAACTCCCAAAATTATCGAATTTGGTCTAAGAATGGGACGAAGGATCCCGTGTGGTGACTACGAAGCAATGCCCGACCTCAGTGATGGATGGTCTGGGCAGCCGTAACAGAGTCCTCAAGGAGTCCCCTCTTTTTTGTTGACAAAGGGGTGAAATAGAATCAGAAGAAATATCGAGATGCCATCCTTGTTGGTGCATTGTTGCCATGGGCACGAAAGCACTTCAAAAAACGTCCCTGGTCGTTCCAGCAGGACTCTGCACCATCCCATGGGGCTAAATCGATTCAGGAGTGGCTGTCCGACAATGTTCCCCACTTCATTACCAAAGATGAATGGCCCCCATCGTCACCCGATCTGAATCCTCTGGATTTTGGGATCTGGTCATACCTTGAGAGCAAGGTCTCGACCGTTCACCATCACAGTTTGGACGCCCTAAAGGTCAAACTGCTGAAGGAGTGGGCCAAAATACCACAGAGTGTCATTCGTGACTCGTGTAAGGCTTTCTCTAAGCGTCTACAACTCGTTATTGATGCAAATGTTGGACATATTGAATGAAATTGTGGCAATTGTATCTCTGAACCTCTGCCTACATAAATACATTTTCAAACATTCACAATTGTGTTTCATCTCATAGTTCTAACCACTCAAAGTTGTAATGCTAAATATTGATGACCCTGTAATTGAAAATATGAATTGGTGGGAAGATGCATGAATGATGATGTCTATAATCGGTTATTCAGCTCCCCATACAACCATTTTGTCACTCGTTATCAATGATTGTTTTTTTAAATTTTAATTCCAGTCTAAATTTAATGCAATGAAAAATTAGTGTTGTTGTAGCTGAACGGAGTACAGGAAATTAGGCTTGTAGGCAGTACAAGTTTCAGTAGTTTATACGAGATTTACGTCCATATGAAGCACCACGTTTCATTGTTGACGTGCAAATTTATAACAACGTTCAAGTTTATTTGAGCGTCTTCGCCTCTCACCTGGTTTAGGATTATGAAAGGCCACAATAGACTTTATTTGCGCAGTAGCATCATAACTCTAGGTTAATTCGAGTGAAACGAGTTGCCTTGTCTTGGAGGAAAGAAGTGATGTCGACCAATCAAGCGTATTAGACCAACATATGCTGGATCACTAACTATCTCTCTGAAGGTTTGTGTGAAGTTTACCTATAATTTTAACGGACATCGCTCAATGATAGTTACTTGAAGACTTTAAACCTTTCACGCGATGGCAAGTGCAACGATAGAGTGCGACGTTTGCAACGAGAAATTCGATTCGGGCAACAACAAGCCGCTTTGTCTGACCTGCGGCCACACTTTTTGCTTCTCTTGCATCACAAATCTACAAAGACTCTCTGGAACCCAAAATTGCCCAAAATGTAGGAAACCATTTTCCCAACGAATTGATCAAATGTTGGTCAACTACGCACTGATTCCTTCAGAAAACAAGGCTCGCCCACATCCCCCGAGCTCGCTGTCAGAGGCACCGTGCCTCCATCAAGGGAAGGCGCTGGATTTCCTGTGTATGGACTGCATGGAACTCGTGTGCTTTACGTGCATCAGGGGCACGCATAAAAATCACGAAATTGAGCTACTAGACGACCTACTTCAAGAGGATGAATCTGTTTTGAACTCGTGGACGAAAATACGGTCCACAATACACGGTAAACTCGGGCGTGTGAATAATTTAGTCTCCGTATCAGACGACATATTGAGTTTGATTGATGAAATCATCAGCCTGAAGACTGAATTCCATGGATGGAAGGATTCGCTGTTGGTCCAAAAAGTGTCAACAGAGCAAGACCTCCAGGTTTGGGATGCCCCGGCCACCGGTGTGATAGAGAACAAGCGACATGAATGCAAAGAAATGCTATGTCGTCTAAAATTGAAACCTTTAGAAAATATGGAGTTACCAGAAATCAGAGCGAGGTTGTCTGCAGCTCTGAAGAAATGCGATTCTTTACAGGCGAGTGGAATGACATACATGAGGCGAATATGTAGTTAGAATACAGAGCAGGAGTCTGTGCTGATTGGAGTTACGCAGCAGGTTATAGCAGGTTTAGAGCAAGATCGGGCATGCTTGTCTCATAACAGCAGGTTTGAAACTTTTAGGGTTAAGTTAAAATGTATTGCCAAAGAAATAATCAATCTTACGTAATCAAAATATGAATTCCGTAAAAGTGGTGACTTTTAGTACTATTAATGTGTTGCACACTATTATTGGGCAGTTTATATTAAGTGTATCTCATGTTGCTGACAAGTTAATACTATATTAGACTATATATATATATATAGACTATCGCAAGCGATACGAAAAAAACGTTCATAAAGCTACCTATAAAGCGGGGAAATTATAACATTCATCTGCCTAATAAACTTTTTTTATATTAATTCACCTTTTCTACTTTCGCCAACCCATACATGTCACTGAACAGCCATTATGGCATTAGAATTACTCTTCGTCTATATAACTTAGAATATGAAAAATCACCGTGAAATTTCCAGACATATGAGCTTCCAACATTTGAGGACGGCGTGCCTTGGACAGTCACCAGCCTTGCTGAAGGAGAGCGAGCTGTCGCCAGCCTGGCCAACAACATCAAGCCCAGTCGCCTCGTGGTGCTGTCCACCCACACCCACCCCATCCCGGGGCTGGAGGAGCTGTTGTACCGCCTCTGCTTCCACCACACCGGAGACATCAGCCTGCTGTCCCTGGACTGCTTCTGGAGGCCGGCAGGACAGTCGGATGGAGGCTTGGAAGCCATCATCGACAAATTTAGGTACATTGGTCAATAGTTTAACAATTCTCAAAAATAATCGCAATATGAACGGGCGAAAATAATTATAAAAAGCCAACTTCTTATAAACATTCACACTGTCATAATAGGCGATCGTTGCAATTAAGGAGGCTGGGTGAGGAACCTTTTCTCATGAATAAATGTGATGTATGATCATCAAATTAGTAAAAGATAAATGAATAAAAAAAGTATATAATTATAAAAAAAAAACACAAAAAAGTGATAGGACGCAAAAAGATTGTGACCTCCAAGAACCAGTTCAAATAATCACTTGTTTCTTTTCTTTTATTGACAACATGTTCAAATTTAACAATAACCTGTTAAACTTGAAAATGTAACTTTCAAATGCATCTGCATTCAATTGTGGGGACCAATTGGTTTATAATCACTTAATGCAGTGAAAACAAAATTTAGAGCGTCTTAAAAGCTTATCGTTCATGAATGGAGTGAAATATCTCATGGCATAAGGATAAGTACAAAGTATATGAACAATGTAGAGAAATTTTATCCGTGCCCATGCCACATGTGTATTCAAATTGATGTTTTTTCATAGAAATCTTCACATTTAATTATAAAGTATGCGCTAGTAATAAAATTGATAAGTTTACTAAATAGTGCAATAGTTGTTTCTTCTATATTCATGTCTTGAGTCACCGCTGACGTGATCTCGCTTTGGCTTGCATAGTAACTTTTATGGACCTTTAAAATGAACATTGAATTTTGTGTAAACTCATGTTTTGTCTGCGGGTAGTCGCGTGTGAGCATTCAATAGAAGCTTTCCTATGTTGGTGGTCGGAACGCAATTAACGTTCGTAGCTCCAATATGAGTTAAAATTTTAAAGTTCCAAGCTCATAAGTCTAGACGTGGAAAGAAAATATCAAGTTCATAAAAACTCTAAAAACTTCATAAATTACTGTACTTTATTCTTCTCATTCTTTTATAAGGTGATGTTTCTTGATCATGCATTCTCTCACATTTTCTTTTGTTTACAGTGACCGCCTAGATACCATGTACGGCTCTCCTGATCAAGGCTTGACCTACTCACACAAGCGACTTTCCACTGGTATGCAAAATGGTAAATTGTATCCAAAGATCCATTTATATTTTAGCAAAATTGTTTATGATTCATTCTAATTGCTGTAAATTAATGTTTTATCTGTTGCATGTCATAGAATTCTTCAAGTCTTTCCTAAGAAACGGCACTTTTTCCATGAATTGTCATCATCGCTCATGTTGCCTCTTAAATTCCTGAAGCAAGTTTATTAAAACAAAACAAAAACTGGTGTTTCTACATTTCATTTTCTTCTTACATATACTTCAATAGACAGAGAGTTGCTCACAAATATGAAGCATAAGTTGAGTTCTAGTTCATCGAGAAAACTGTATGAGAAAGAGAAGATTAAATGAAAAGTGGCAACTGATGAGGATCACGAACACGTTGAAATAAGTGGACAAAATAAATTATTCTAAACATGAAGATTGAATACGTTTGGTAACTTACCTCGGACTTTGAGTGAAAGGTAGATTTACGGCTTCTAATCTCCAAACAGGGGCAACTAGAGCGGAGCCTTGCAAGGTCGGTATACGTTTTGGCAGCTACTTCCACGTGCCTGTATATTTACCTGGGCAAATTGGTAAGTTTTCTAATATTTAACTGTAAGTTGAACCCGTCGCTTCGCCTGATTTTGAAAATTGTTGATTTAAAAAGCAGAAAGTGAGCTCGCCGTTTTTTGGCAACGATGAGTGACGGTGGTGGACGAACAGTAGCATGGATACCATTCCAATGCATTACATTATCATAAGTTATTACTTTTTTAAGTTAATAACAGCGCTATGGTTCAAGTTTACATAATTTACTGAGAGCATAATTTAATGAAACAAACACGTCCCTGTCATCTATCAATTGGCCCGTTGAAGGGTCGGAGGCTTTTATTAACCATCGTCGCTGCGGAGACAATGAACAACGCAAACTGACTTAGCATTTATGGGCCTGGATGATCTGCCTTTAAAAAAAATTAGATTCGGTAACTACACATTGCCACAGACCTTCAATTCAGCCAACTTACGGTGCAGGATAAAAAGCAGCTATCAGTGTAGACGTCTTCAATGCAAGTTTGAATCACTAGTAGCCTCGGTTAGAAGTCAATTTCTTTGCGCTGAATTTTCACCTTTTATCAGTAAATTGTTAGGAGCAATCGTCAAAAATTGTGTCGGGCGCGTCATTACCGTCAAAATGATGTAACTTGGAATGACAGAGGATCACACAGATTTTTACTATTGAACAGAGGGATGCATTAGCTGGAAAATATTTCTTGTTCATGTGAGTCCGGCCCGTTCTTCAGACGATGCTTGCTGTGCACGAGGAACGTCTTTCCACATCCGCTCATATATGAGACAGTATAACGGTTATAGCGTCACCCGCTGGCACTTCCCAGACCTCTGCGACGAGGACTTGGACTGGATGATCGGCATCCTGCGCCGATTCAACGACTCTCGGTGAGTATGAATAAACTCAATTTGAATTAATTAGTATTTTCATTCTGGCAGTTTCTGTTACTCCAGCGCTTGTCATTTGAGAACGAAGAAGTTATCGCCTTAAAAATGAATTAATATGATGTTGAAAGATACTTTACCTATTTCACTAACAATTTTCTAATGAAACTATAAACTAATACTATAAAAAACATTGCAATACATAAAGTTTCTTATATAATATCTTGTGGTGTAATGAAGCCAAATACCTGGCGCTTCCGGTATAACCTCAAACTCCCTATACTTCCAATATATAGGAGGTATAGAGTTATATATAATTATAGGCTATATTAGCCTCCAATTAAAGCTGGTGTAGCCAACTCATTCATTCAGTCAAACAAATTTACTTTGCATTGATCTACATTATGAAAATTCCGCCTAAGATTTCCTAAAAAATTTATTATTACTTAGTTCATTAATTGATTGCCATCTCAGCCTGCGTGTGGTCTTACCGAGAAATGGCCTCACCGCTACGGGCGCTCGTCGGCTGTTCGAGGAGCTCCCCCAAATCCGGGAGGTATACCACGACCCTGGCGCGGCGCACCTGACGTCAGCTGGCAGCGGTGCACCTCATCTCACCTTCATCAAGTTGTCAACGAACAACATCATTCAATGGCTGTAAAATGCTGCGGCGTGGTAGTAGGTATGTCACGGCAGGAATCTAACACAGTATATATGATGTATTTGTTCAATATTCACCTTGAGTATTGAAGGCTTGAAGGGAGGAATGTTGAAGCAAGAATTGCGGGGTTTGTCCAAACAGGAGGGACCGGGCAGAAGTGTGGTGAATCGGCATTAGTTAGAGCAGTTTTTTACTAATGATTTCAAGTGTTAATTCAGTTTTATACGTCTTTTTATATTTCATGTTAAAAAAGCGTAGGTAATCCGTCTACTGTTTTATAAAATTTTGAGATTATTTAAGGCAATGGTAGAAAATTAAGGAAAGAAACAAACATGAAAAAGTGAGAAATTTAATTTTCAATAATTACACCAAGGGTTACTTAAGTACTAATGAGTCCCATATAATACGCGTCATATTTCGAAGTACCAATAATATTTACGCAATAAAATCGGCAATTTTTGTGGTGATTGATAATAATTGTGTATTTTTTAACCACAAGTGAAAATAACCCAAAACATTGGAAAAAAACATCGAAGGAGGATAATCAGTAGGGCAGTTGAACTATTTGTATTTCTCATGATACGGTATCAATGTCTATTTTCTTTTTATTTAAAATAATCTCAAAATTTTTAACTTCAAACTTCAAGTAGAGGAATTTTTTTCATAAGCTGAGATGCTTAAAAAGAGTTTTTATTCAAATATAAATATGATATTACTTAAATCGATGTTCAACATTTAAGATTCAAATTTGAATGCCCAATAAAGACCTAATTCGTGTGAACAATTTTTTAATCAACAATTTGGTCAAGTTTTCCTTAAAACAGTCACAAATGGGAAAATATTGGATAGATGCATTATAAATATATAAAACAAGAAAAATAACTGACTCAAAATTTACAAAATCCCCAAAAATGTCTGCATGGCAGAAGAGACTTAATGAAGTAAAAGGAATCAATGCGGAAGTAAAATGAAACTACTGAAGTTCTTTTAAACAAAAATATAATTTTTTTAAGTATACAATTTGTATTCCACTTCTCAGTTTTTTGTGCGGTTGATGGATCGCAAATTGCCAGGCAAGATAATTTGAGACCTGACCTGCTCTTCAAGACATTATTACTGGCGGACATGCGGTGACATGCAGAGAAAATGTCGAGGAAATACTTTGCAAAATCATTTTATTCATACGGATTATTGCATCTTGTTAGGTCTATTGTGTTTTATGTCTTTAATCGTATAAAAATAGCACAATAGTTATTTACGGACGAGGATATGGTTGATACCACATAATATTGTCATCGAAAATTCTCATTGTAACTTGAGACGAATTTTAACAGTGATTACATTTTATACTATTTAAGTGATATACCCTGAGGTCACCTGCCCATTCAAATGAGACATCACGAGTGAGTAAATTAAAATAATGAGCGGAATAAATATTCACGGTTAAATTCAATTATTGAACATTATTGAACACATCACATGTTTTTCTATTTTATTAACCATGTCAGCGTTAGGCCTCCAAATCGCGTCGCATCAAGTGTTTGTGAAGTGAAGAGTTTGTTGTTATTGACTTGAAGCGCCAGTCGCGTCGTGCCCTCGAAATCTTCGTATCCTTGCTACCAAAATACACGTTTGACTTCCACGTCAGGTTGGCCAAAACTGATTTGCGGCAACCGTGCATTAAAATGTATTTGAAAATTTCTTTAATTAAATATTGTTAACATATGTGGTATATTAATATCTTCAGAATAATAATTATATACGCAGGCTGACGCTAGTTGCAGGAGTAAGCCATAGCTCATACCAGACTGTTGTATGAACTACGTGGCAGCATCTTTTATCAGTCGCTTTAGAAAATGGGAATTTAATGAGGACAGAATGTTGTGAAAAATTATATGAATGAAGATATCATTATCCCTGGCAACGTAAGCGGAGTCTTTCCAAACGAAGAGATTTACACAACTTTGCTTGATAGCTATAATATTGAATGAAATAAGACTTTCGATAAGCGCAATTTTGGTTCCAACCTATTGGCAAACACTTAGAGAAACGTATGATTATTTCTCAGTAGTCAAATAATTTTCATAACAGTAAACACGGACGAAATTGGGAAACATGGCCGGTTTTTATCTCCTAACAATCTTCTTAACTTGTAAACTAGCCCCCGCATCAAATCTGAAATTGTTACTACTGTATGTTTGAATTATACGGCAATTCATGCGAAGCCTTACATTGTCACGAGCTTATAGGAATGATATACCACTACCTAAATAAACATTTCTCAGTTCCTACATCGTTTCTTTCATTTAGAAAGAGCCTGTTTACAATTACTTCTATTAATAGGATCTACTTCTAGTAATAGGATCCTGAGCAGATAAAATTACGTTAATTTGGAAGTTAAACAACCTTTAAATGCAAATTTTATGTATTGCGTAAAGCTAAAGCAAAAAATGTGAGCAAAACGGGTTACCCTGCAGGAGAGAACTAGAGCGAGAATGAGTCCATGATCATTAGAGCGTGGCAACGTAAATAAGGGATTAAAGAAAAAGTAATGCTTCATTCAAAGAAAACAGGGTATTTAACAATTTGGGATAAAGTTATTTAACACTCTCGTATAATTTGCACACTCTCGCATGCGCATGCCGCAGTATATTACTAAAATAAAGCAGAATCCGTACAGCTTACAGCACCTAAAATGCAGCACAGTTTCATCCAGCCAATCTTCATCTTTGTAGTCGGATGGTTATAAATTTACACACAATAATTAAAGATTCACACTATCACTTCTCACAATAACGTGAATGATGGATCACAACATGAGTGCTGACCTCTTCTTCAGCTGCCCCCTTCATCCTGATGGCCCACCGAGTAGCATGGATACGACGACGCCTCTCATCAGCTGATCCTCCTGCATCACAGAGAATAGAAAGGACATGTAAAGACACCACCCTTGCCCCACCACCCCTTGCCCACACCCTCTTATTAATAAGCATTTATGGACGCAATGCTCATGCAGTTTGTTCCACATATGTTTATTAGTTTGTTTATTTATTGTTAATTTAAGTGTTTATATTTATTGTTTACTTCGTTATTTTACACATCACAACGCTAGACGTTGTTGACGTTGTATCAGCATAAGACATTCAACAAAAATCAATTATGAATACTAATTAGCATTTATCAATGATATGCTGGATGCTTCTTCCATGCGCGTTGAAAACAAGACTGCGTCTGGGACCTAAAGATACATTTTTTGGTAGATATTTATTTCTAATTTTGCCTACGGATAAAACATGTGATTAATAATTCCGGATTAATTCGGTTAAGATTCGGACTGACGTAACGACATGGCTTGACGCCAGGTATTCACTAAAATATTGTGAAATTCGTGCCTCGAGAGAATAAAATGCCGTATACGTAGTATGACAAATTGCCAATTACTTATAAACAAAGAGAACCATCGCTTATTAGGTCTTCACAGTGCAAGAACCATTCCTGTACTGACGATAGTCGATACTTATGTTAATAGTCACGTTATGGCATAAACCATAAACATAATAGTCATAAACTATTGCATATGTACATTACAAAAGAGATTTCACGCCAAGGTGTTCGTCTGGAGCTTATATACCATGACCGCCCGTACATTCCTTTATTCCATTACCGTACATTCCTTTATTCTATTACCGTGCATTCATTTCAATTCATTCTTTTTCCTCCACCGTTACGTCTAGTCAGTTCAGGAATACAAGAGTACACCCAATAGGTAAGTAGATATTTTCTGTGATACTTCATAGAAAACTGTCCCTCGCGTTCATACACCGCAAACTATAGCAAACGGAATCTTCCATTGGTTCAGAGTCAATTGTTGGGGAAATGAAACATTTTAACGTTGAAGGGTACAGTAGAGAGGTTGCCTTCTAATATCTTGTAATTATTATTGACTTGATGTTAGCAGCTATTTGTAGTGACTCGAATTTACATCTCGCACTAGTATTTCTCTTGAATGCCACAATTAATTTTTTTAAATCTTCAAACTCGTGGTTATCGACCTCTGTAACAATATCTTACATAATTATCATGATCTCGATTACGTATTTCGGATTTTATCAATTTCATTTATAAACATTATAAAAATATATAGTCAGTTTATCATCATCAGTTTGTCGCTCTCAATATCCTCATCCATCATCACGCTCTCACCCCCTCACCCATCATCACACTCTCACTCCCCTCACCCATCATCACANGGGACGTGGGGACGGCGCAGCAAATGCAGGCAAGCGTTGAAATGAAGCGAGGAAATTCGAGGCGAGGATTACTTGAGATAAGAGACTCGCCTGAAAGTCTGGAGAATTTATGGAACGTTTTCTTAACAATGATCTTCAAGTTTAGTGACATCAAGTTCTAGACAAATTTTGCAATGTTCAGAATCAGCAACAGAATGAAAGCTGCAAATGCTATGCTACTATACTATAAATACTACTATATTATACATACTACTATACTATACATGTGTCCACAGTAAATGTATTTATTAAGAATTACTCGAGGATCTAAAATGAACCGAGGAATCTCATCTAAACCTCAGAATAATATCAAGCAAACCCAAGACTCAGTTGTGCGATCATGAGTTCACATTTGATACAAGCTTGAGAACTCATGTCGAATAATAGGATAGGCCATGTAAATGGAAAATGTAATTGTAGGCAGTGTGAACGAATCCCAAAAATTTAGTCTTTAATCGTGAAAAGATTTTCAAATAGTTCGTGTAGACGATCGCTCTGTCCAGCACCATCTACAGGTGCAGTGTCTCCAACTTTGGAACACTAAGACATCTCCTATCAGATCTAGAGCATTACCTCGTATTGTCACTGATTCTTATGACTTGAAAATACTTCTAGACTTTACCTGAAACGTCCTTTATCTTCCAGAGTGCAAAGTTTTGCTTTTGAGAGTTTATTAACTTGAAACATTCAGTGATTTCCATTATTTCTCAACTGATTGCTCTGCTATCCCTATCATATTTTTCAGATATACATATTTGTTGTAGAAGTGTTGAACATTCAAAATCTGAAGCGGCCGTCGTCTGTTTCAAGCAATTTAAGAGAGTGTTAGGTATTACTGTAGAGTGTGGAAATGTATTTAAAATTAGAAAAATCTCTTCGCTGTTTGATAATTCTGCGTTCTGCATTCAGTATTTTACGTGCATTCAAGAATATGTTTACTTAAACCTCTAACGCGTGACGAGTATAGAAGAAGTGAAGTTCTAGTAACTAAGCAAGCGTGGAGTGTTCATATAATGTCTTGTGTTAAGATTTACGTTAAATAAATGACATATTTTCGCAATTTCATCACCTAACAGACTTTGGTTCCCATAGGTTAATGGACATATGCATTGAACTTCTGAAATTAGAACAACAGTGTCAGTTCGTCAGTTTTTCCGCTGACGAACTGATATTGTTATTTGATGAACGGATAACTTATTATGCTAATATAATCTTCTGAAGAACCTAGTTCTTTAAACTCCAACGCCATTGCAGGTTTGTAAAAGAATGTCCCGTGGTATAATCTACTTGTTTGGTTTAGTTATAACATAGGCACAAAGTGTTACAGAAGCAAT